GCATGAGAAACTTGGCTCTTCTCCAGGAAAAACCAGAGCAAAGCAAAAGTCAGAGTTATCTGGAACAAGTGCAAGAACTTTCCAAAGGAGCATGGCTCTGGGATCTAACCAAATGAGATGACGAAGAATAGGGAAACGATAGATGTTCTCCTTGAGGCAGACACTGTGATAGCAAAGAGAGAAAAGCATTTGATTCTTATTTCAGTCTGTTTTCTCAAAGAAGAGAAAACAACCTAGAAGGTTTAGGCAAAAAATAATAATAAATAAATAAATAAGGACTCAAAATCCAAACAAGAACATTATAGCTGGTTTAAATAATTGCCAAGGTTTTCCCAGTACAGAACAAGAGAGGGTCTGTCTGTGACTTAGCAGAGACATGGGTCCTCATTTCTAAAAAGCTGATTGTCAGAACCTGAATCAGAGGGAATGTAGTGTAATTACCAAAGACTTCTATAAGACTGTTAGAATATAATTCACAAACAGTTTTTAAGCCACAAAGAATCAAGAAATCAAGTAAAATAAAATGATGAGGATATGCAGAAAGAGGGAGCCATATCCACTGCTGGTGGGAGCTTACTCTAGTGTGGCCATTATGGAAATCAGTGTGGAGGGTTCTAGCAAATAAAAACAGGAAACACAACTGCCATATGACCCAACTATACCCAAAGAAGCCTATATTCTCACAGAGACACCCGCACATCCACGTTTATTGCTGCAGTACTCACAATAACAAGGGAGTGGAACCAGCCTGAATGTCCATCAGTAAGTGAACAGATAATTAAAATGTGGTAACCATACATAACGGAATTTTATTCCGCCGCAAAACAGAAATGAAATCATGAAAATTGCAGGAAAATGGATAGAACTGGAAAACATATTAAATGAGGGAACACAGACTCAGAAAGACAAAACCACTTCTCATATGCAGATCCAAACTTACAATGTTTATATATACATATATGAGGGGGGTGAGCATGGATATAGGCTATGAAACTAGGAAAGAAACCTTGAGAGGGGAAACATATTGAAGAAGGAGGTAAGGGCACTAGGACACACAAAACAGAAAGGAGGTTGTAGGGAGTTGGGTGGAAAAGTACAAGGGTATCGGGGGGATGAGAAAGAAGGGGGGGTCAATAAAATAGAATTGTGAAAATACCAGAAAACCTAATATCACGTGTGCTAATTAAAATAATAAAACATTTTTAAAAGGCAGTAGGTGCCTCCTAAGTATAAGTCACATAAATATATGTCATTTATTCTATAGTTAGGTTTACAGGGGTACTAAATTATCTGGTTGCTCTACAGAAGATACATTTTTATTTTATTGGGTCATAAAATCTGGCGCCCCCTTGCCCCTGCTTAAGCTTTGTAGGAGACAGCAAAGGATGGCTTTGGATGATACCACAGTTGAGGATTCATAGCTAGTTTAACTCTCAAAAGTGTCCATTGATGAATTATTTTCAAGGAGAACGCCAAAATATCTTGTACTCCCCTAGATCCCGTTTATTACCTTAATAATGATTTAATGATAAAGCAAAGTGTACTGACCCAATTTGAAAATCAAACAAAACTGCAAAAGATTGGTGAGATTCTACAGGGACTTCAGAACATTTTCACAGGGTCAAAAGAGATCTAAACTTAAGCAAATGAGACTGAACAGGCAATATAAATCTTTCTGGTATTTCCAGATTATAGTTACTAAAGCCTGGCTACTGCGACTCTTGAGTACCAAAGAGATCACTGTAATTCCAGGCTGTATTTGCAACCCTCTACATTGTTTTATCAGTATTGGTGTGAGATTCATTCCAAGACTCCTCTGGATGCCAAAAACCTGTGGATGTTCAAGTGCCTTAGCCAGAATGGCACAGTATTTGCACATGACCTACACATGTTCTCCCATAGGTCTCTCTCTAGCCCCAGGTGGCCTGGAACTGCCATGTAGACCAGACTGGCCTCAATCTCAAGCTCCCCTTGCCTCTGCCTCCCAAGTGCTGTGACTAAAGGCATGTACCACCATGTCTGGCTTCTCCCATACATTTTGAATCATCTCTAGATTATTTGTAATTCCAAATATAACATAAAGTCTATGTAAAAAGTTGTTATATTTTAGGAAATGACAAGAAAAATATCTATACATGCTCAGTACAGATGCATTCGTTTCCAAGTATTTTTGGATCACAGATTATTGAATCTGTGGTGCACAGCTCATGAATATGAAGGGCTACCTCATAGACACATGGGCAAAAGTATTTGTGTAACTAAGATATTTCTTTTCAACTTCCAAATATTGTTCCTTTTGCTTCTATAGACTCTGAACCAAGAACTACTTGAATGGATATAAGCCAATAATCCATTATAATATAATGGTGGGTTTTGAAGGAAAAAAATGTTTCCAATAATCATAACTTTTGAATGGATAATCCATCAAATCCTAACTTCTTGGGTATTGTAGGGCTACTAGACTTGGGTACTAAATACATCCCCAGCTTACAGGGGACTAGAAGTCATCCAAGTGATGACTAAAAGAGAAGGCTAACATTTGTCATGTGCTTCCTGAGTGTTAGACTCTTTCCTATAGTTTCAGCCTACCAGTAACTCAGCCCAAAAGAACAGCAATTATAATCTGAACATAATCAGTGTGCCTGTAAACTATTACAGATCTGCCACTGCTGGAGAGCAAGGCCTAGTTGTATGCCAAAACAGCCTGGTTCTTTAACAGCTGGCCCTTTTCTGTGTGTTTTATCCCTTCCCATCGTTTAACTTGAAGTGCAATATTTTTAACCCTCTTTAGATGTTTCTGCGTTCTCTGAATCATTGAAATCACCTGTGCCTGTTCTGTTTGGTTTTCCCATTAGAAATCCCCTTCCTGTTTCAGGGGAAACTCTCCCATCTGTAACGACCAGGACTATCTTTTCCTCTATTGTTTGGCCCCACCTGCTTCTTCCCTGGGTGAGATGCACCTCTGCCTCCCATACTGAAGACCTGACCTGTGACTGTCAGTCTCCATGTGGCCTCCAGGCTGTATCCTCCAAGCAGCCCAGAGCCTCCCTCTCCCTCCCTGCTGGGTCCCTTTCCCCGCACTGTCCCTTGGTGCCTCTTGACTTTATCCTGATGCCCTCACCTTTTCTCTAAGAATTCTCTTATCTCGCTCTTTCTCGTCTGTCTCTCTGCAGTCTCTCACTCTTAACCAGCATCCACACAGGTTATTTCCCACATTCATTTTATTCTCTTTATAAACTGCCCTACCACGTGCACGGCAGCTCACCCGTGTTCTTTCTCCGTCTCTCCCTTGTGTACATTCCTCTGGTGGAGTCCTGCATCCTTTGAGTCACAAACTTGCATTCCTCCCAAACTCACCATTCATTTCCATCTCGAGGCACTGGGAAAGCCAGGACTCCTGTATCGGAACACTGATCTTTAGAACTTTCTGGGTTTTCTGTTTTTCATGTTCTGCGTCATCTTTTCAAATTGCCCTCTCACCCGGCATCTCTCTGCTTCTCTCCACTTTCTCCTGTTCCCCTCATGACCTTTCTTACCTCGGACTTTTCGGTCCCTTCACCTCTGTCTCCATTTCTGGTCTCCACTTTTCCTCTTCTGTTAAAGCCTATTTGAAGATTTTCTTCTATTCTGTGACTTCTCTCTCATCCCCCGATGTTTTGTTATTTCACAGTCTCTACTCCCCACCGCCCCATCTTTCTGGTCCTCTTTGGACCCATCTCTCTGGCATCTCTACTGCCCTTCTCCTCACACAAACTTGTGCACCCACACTCTTACTCTCCTTCTTACTACAGGAGACTCTCATGCACAGGAGTCGGAGCAAACGTTTCTTCCCTTGTTGTGGAATTTGTCATTTGCCCAATTTGGCTCTCCAGCATGGGAGAGAAGGAAGCTATGTAGGTTAAATGTGGATACGAAGCCTGTCTGCCATGGGCTGAAGACAGGGCACGTACCCATGAGCATGTCCACATGCTTTGTCCATTTCTTCCTGATCTCTTGACCCCTTGTTCAAACACTGAAATAACATATTTCTTTTATTAACTCGTCACTTTCCCTCCTTTTCCCATACTTCAGTCCATCACCACAGCGGCTAGACTACCTTCTAACCCATATAGTAGCTTATTATAAATAAAGCTTGCAAAATGTCAGTCAGTGGTTAAGTAAGAAATGGTGATCATTTTCTTAGAGGCACTCCTCCAGGTGCCTAGTGATATGTTTTGCTTCCTCTGCAAGCTGAGTTGGCGGGAAGACAGACTCATGGATCTTTCAGCCCAGCCCAGTGAGGTCATGGGTTACCATGACATTATCTGCCCAGGCAAGAGCAGTCTACACATCATACTGTTTTAGGTCCCCTCCCTCACTCGTTTTCTCCCCGCTTTGGATAAAATAAGTTAAAATTCACAGTAATAAAGACTTGACCTCCAACAGCCTCTACTCCCCCCGACCCCAGGTTTCTCTTATGACACTTTCCCTACAGAGCCCAAATTCATGAGAGAGATTCCCAGACTCACTTTCAGTTCTGAGTTTGGGAATAAACTATTTTAGAGGCAGGACAGAAGAAATAGCTTAAGATATCCTTTAGTGGAGAGATGGGCCCAGAGAAAATGCCTGACTCCATACAGGCATGCCCAGTGGGGACCTCCCTTAAGGGTTACATCCAACACTCATTCAGTCAAGTGGTCAGAAATGGAGATCTTAATTCACAGAAAAACACCCAATGGTTACTGATTTATTGCATACAATGGACACCAACTCAGGTCTAGCAAGGAAAGAAAACTACACAAACCGATATAACACTTAGAAGTAACATGGCCCTTGTGTCTTCATACTATGAGAGGTGAGGGGGAAAATAAGGCCAGCCTCTTCCTTCTCCAAGCCAGCACTGGAGAGAAACTGGACTCCCACCCCAGTCTAGTATATAGTCTTTCAAACCCTTCAGTCTTCTCCAGTGCCTCAGCAATCCTGTGCCCCCAAGCACTTTCCCTTCATTCTTTAGCCCCAAGTTAGGTGGCATGGCTATTCTTATCTTCGTCTCTGACCTCCTCTGGTGCCAGCTGCTCAAGGGAAGAGGCAAGCTGCCCTTCTTGTACATCGCTTAGCGAGGACCCTGTTGCTGGTCTGGTGCCTTCAGGCAGCCCACTGATGCCTAATGAAGGCAGCTTACTCACAGTCTGAGCATATGGAGCTGCAAGCAAGTCAGGCAAGTAGCCATCTCCCAAGGGATGCTCTAGAGCCTGTGGGCAGAGCGGACCAGGGAAAGGCACTTCTGGCAAACAAGGGTCGCTCCAGGGGACTGGTCCTGTAGGTATCAAAGGGCATGGGGATTATTAGACAGGACTAAGAGCATCAAACACCACTAATGAATTGTGGAACAGAGACTCTTTCCCCTTCCACAGGACCATGGCACAGGACCTTAGTCCAAATACAAGCACCAGTCTCTCCTTCAGGACCAACCAGGGTCCTGGACTCTAGGGCCTGTGGTTTAGTGACTGATTTAGTAATACAATAAGCCATGGATCAAGGCAAGTGCTATCATCTCATACAGGCACCAAGGGGACCAGGAACCACCTGGAAATGTCTTTCATTCCTTCCCACTAGAACTCAACTCTTCATGAGATGGATGGTTTTGAGATTTCAGAAGGTTTGGCATAATAGCTACCTGTTCTGTACCAGGGACTTTCTTTCACTGTTTAGAATGCTCACCAAATCCCTCAATTATATAAAACTATTACTCCCATGCCAGGGTCCACAAAAGACTCAGGAGAGCTAGACACAAGGGCTGGAGATTTGCGCCTCATACATGCCCTGCCTCCCTCTGCTTTCCAGACAAGGAGGCGTCCCGTCCTTTCTCACCTTCCTCAATCACAAGGGGGAATCTTTTCCAGCCCCAACTCACCCATAGGTCCAGGAGGTGGCTGTAACAAGACCTGCCCATATGGAGGCCCTGGGCAGTAATCCTGTGATGTGCCCCCACTGAGGCCGAAAGGGAATGAAAAGAGAGAGTCTTCTGGTGGTAGAAATGCCAGCGAGCTTGGAATGGGGAAAGGAAAGGGGGGGAGGTAGGGAAACTGGGGCTGAAAGGGTGGGAAAAGTTGAGTCTGTGGTGCCTGGGAGAACTGGAAGGAGCCCATCTGGCCGCTTGGCTGGTGGTCCTGAAGCTCCAGGTCTTCCATATATGAGCAGGTGGGTGGTGGGGTGATGCTATAGGGAACACAGGAGTACTGAGTGGGCCGAAGGGGTGGCCTCATTCCCACTAACAGTGAAGAGACTCTTCCCCCTTAACTCCTCTCCATCTCTGCAGCAGCACCGCACCTTGGGCACCACCGTACTCCTCCTCTTCGTTCTGTTCCTACTGATTCCCCTTGTTTCTCCCCCATTGCTACACAACCTTTGATAATTTATAACAAAATCCACAGAGCTTTCATTCCCATCACTTCACATAAACTGCTCTTTGCTCCTTTCAGCCTCCCCACCCCCACCGCCGACTTTCTTTTCTCCTTCTGTATCCTTCCAAAGTCACCTCTGACCGTGGGTTCTATACCTGCTCCCCCAGGCCCCACAGAGACCATTCTTGTGGCTGCTGTCACTTCCAGGAACATCCCTCAGCCAAGGCATCAGTTGAGGAGTGTGGACAGGACCCAGAGGAAGAGGATGGTTTGTTCTTTGAATAGGTGGGGGGCTGAAAAGTGGTGGGGTCACCACTCCTCTCTGAGAACCCTCACTTTGCTTGGTAGGGGCCAGAGTCTGGTCAGAAGTCAGTAGCATGGAGGGCTCTAGAAAATAGATGGCAACTCTCAGGGTAAGGAAATGGGGATGTGGGCATGGCATTGATGAATGGCAGACAGTGAAAAGCCAGGGGCCACCAACACAAAACTCTGGAGAGCTGCGGCCACTGCTACCACGGGGCAGCAAGGACCTTCTGTTTTGACTATCTTCTAGCTTTTGTTTCCCCCAGAAAACTCTCTGATGGTGGGAGCTCACCTGGAAAGGTATCCAGAGGGGGATCTGGAAGAACAGTGCTAACTTCCAAGTGTGTAGGCATAGGAGGTGGGAGCTCAGGGATAGACCTGGAGGTGGTGAGAAGGAAGTTCTTGTGGCCTCTGGAGTTAGCTCTCAGCTTGGTGCAAGGAAAAGACCACTTACAAGGCATCGGAAACTTGACTCCAGCCCAGTCCATCCAAATCCCTCTAGGTACTAGCAACAACCCCAGGACTCGGGCTGGACTTTCAACACTCTCCCTCAAGACCCCAAGATCCCAGTGTGGACTCCACTTGTTTGGTGTGGATGGTCCAACACCTGCGGACAGCCTCACCTACACTGAGTGCTGCCAGCACCAGGGACTGCAGGAGTGTCCTTGTTCTCCTTCTCGTTCAGCTTCTCCACTTTTCGCCACTTTGCCCTGCGGTTCTGGAACCACACCTATAGAGGAAAGATACTTGAACTTGAGACTGTGGGGAGAGATGGAGGCCTGGGTACACAGCTGTGGAGGACATTTTACCAGTTTTCAGATGCTTTCTGTGGTATCTTCCATCATCTTCTAATAGGCTAAAGCTGTGGTCCTTGGGACACCCTTGGGGCTAAGATCAGCCTCTATGCCAGCTGAGGCTGAGCACCTGCCCTGCTCCCAGACAGTTCTAACCAGAAGTTTCCCTCCATCTGTTGAGCATTTAACCAGCCCCTTTTACCATGATGCGTTGGGGGGTGACCCCCACTATTTGGGCGATCTCTCGGCGCTTGTCGCTGTCAGGGTAGTGGTCTTCCTGGAATATCCGCTCCAGCTCCTCTAGCTGGTCTGCAGGAAAAGGAAACATGGGCAAGCTGAACACCACAGCAGGAAAGAAGAGATGTCCAGCAGGTATCTACGGCAGAGGCCATTGTCCTCAACCCAAGAACCCCGCAGCTAAGTTCTCCCACGGACCAGGCTTCCTAATCTCTCAGGCAAGCGTGACGTATGTATTCCTGATCATTTTATCCTGGTGTCAAGCTCATTTCCTGACAAGACAGCTTGGCCTTCTCTTCAGGGATCAGAGGTAGTGGCACTGCCATGGGCCAAGACAAGCATCCAAACAAAGTGACTAACCACACCCCAAAGTCTCCTTGTTCCCGGGAGGATACCACCCACAGTTCCCTCTCACCTTTAGGGACTAACCTGAGCGGTACAGGGTTCGAGTCTTTTTCCGAACTTGGCAGGTCATTTCTGGGGACTCCTTCTTCACGTTGTCTTCCTGACTGTTTTGGGACAATGTACCAAGAAGACTGCCCAGGTGGCTGGGGCCTGGGCCTGATGCAGAAAACACAGGTTTGTATGTGGCACATGCTGAGTAACTGACACTTGATTATGCTGAGGCCACACCCATGATGTTAGACTTTCTCTGCTTACCAGGGGCTGGAGAAAGGGGTCTCTTCACTCTCTTTACCTCTCCGTCTGGGATGGGAGAACCTTCCTTCTGGGGCTGAGGACTGCATGCAGCTGGTGCTGGGTCTTTGTGGAGAGCCCTGGAGCTGGGCGGCCTGCACACTCTGCAGCTATCTGTTTTCATCAGTTCTCCAGAGCTCTTTGGAAGTGGCTTCCTTCCTGACTCTGTGCTGGCGGGTGGTGACTGCTTGCCCTGGTCATCCTGAATGAGTGGGGCTGAATCCTGTAGTGGTTCCTCTGCCTCCATCCCAGCAACCTGGGGCTTGACTCCAACTTCCTGACCTGTGGAGAGCAGCAGTCACTGGATTAAGCACCAGGTGGGAGGAAGAGCCCCTTCTTCCTGCAGAAGATCTGTTGTTAAAACCTCAGCTTTCCATTGCCTGTCTAGCAAACGGGGTCCAAATGCCAGGCTTACCTTCCTAACTGGACAGTTGATGATCCAACTGCTTAGGAAGCTGTAAATATCTGTGACAACTCTGAGGAGTCTTAGCTCACAGTGTGAGAACATCGCTAACTTGGGTATACATTATTTTTCCCTCAGACATTGGGTACAAGTGTGAGGGACAGGTACCTGTTTTGATGCTTCTAATAGACAACTGTTGGGGGAGAGATTAGGAAGAGAGAAGCAGACCGGCTGGATTCTGGCTTTTGTTAGATTGAACCCTGTTCCAGCAGGGAAGCAGGTGCTGCCTGCAGTGGAGACAAAGCAGGCTCACAGGTTCTCCAGCAGCCCAAACACGAGTCCATCAAGGAGGATCACAGGAAGGGCTGCCCTCACCTTCTGTACTCCCCCTGTCCTACAACTCCTCAATCCATGTGTCTGCCTCCTTTCCTCCCCTCCTTCTATCTGGTCCAACTCCTCCTTTATATCCGAGGGGAATAGGCTGGAAGTACCCCACACACATACCCTTACATAGTCTTGAAGTTCACTTTCCTAACTCTGAGCCAAGCACTGCAGCTGGGGCTTAAGGAAAAGCTCGCACTTTTCAAACATGAGCACAGTACCCATTTGCTTCCCATGAAGCTGGTATTTCCCCCAGGTGAAGAAATGGGGGTCAGAGAGCTGAGTAATGGACCCCAGATCACACAGAGTATCAAGGTACGGGGCACAGGCTCTTGTCAGCCACCACATGGAACTTTTCCCAGGATCCCAAATACTTCCCTTCCCTTCTGGACTTATAACCACAGAAAACTCACCCCAGGAGCTGCTCTGTCGTTTCCAACTAAACCAAAAAAATCTGTAACTGAATGCTGACTAGACACCAAGAGCCTCTGATATTGACTCTAAAGAAACAACTTTCTAAAAATTATAAAGCAAGGAAGCAGGTCCTGGCGCAGGAACCTCTTCAAGCTGTTTCTAGGATACACAGTAGAACAGCTGTTGGAAGTTGAGAAGGGGATGAGGGGGCAAGCAGGCATGGGGGTGAGGGGTAAGTGTGGATGGAGGGAAATCAGGACAAAAGAGCTTTACAACGTTTTAGGCGCACTTGTAAAATAAAGAACATGGTAAAGAATAGGTGCCCAACAAACATGGAACTTATTCTAACCTGCCAGAGAAGAAAGGCTGAGATTGTCAGAACCCAGACTCTATAGAACAGTATTAGGGTTCCAGGCCCAGCGTTTCTCCCCAAAACATTGGGAGAAGAGTCCCTGAAAAGAAGGATACTGTGAGGTCGCCTCTCTTCCCCATTACCACCACCACCCTAACCAGGTTCTTAAGCCTGGCAACGTGGCCAGCAGACCTCATGGGCTCTGGGCTCTGAAAGCACCCATCAAGGACGACCCCCGTGCGCACTCACCTCGTGGTTTCTTGCAGAGCTTCTCCTTGGGCTCCATGGCCCGAATTCCTGCGCCTCAGCAGGCCCTGGCCGCACAGGCACCATCTAATGAAGCCCCGTGGGGTGGCCAGGTGTGTGGAGTCTGCACAGGCGGGGAACGAAGCACGAGCTGTGCCCCCAACTCCACCCCCAGGGCGCAGCACTGCACACCTGAGCAACCTGTCCTGCAGCCCCCTGCTCACCTTTGAGGCCCTAGCCCCAGGGGGCGCCAGGTGTGGGTCTCCCTTACTGCCCCTAAGACCTCCTGGGGTGCCACTGAAGGTGAAGGTGAGGTTCTGTCCTGGGCGCACTCACACCCTAACCCTCACTGGAGAAAAGACTTGGCTGTGGTTCCCTCTTGAACCTTCCATATGGAGACTATGGGAATACTCATCAATGGAGTCCCTGATGGATATGTGGCTGTCCTGTCTCCAGTCTGCCCCAAAGTTCCAACTGACTTGAGGGTCCTTAAGGCACAGAGTCATGCTCAGATGGCCAAAATAAAGCTGAAAGAACCCCAGGCTGGAGGGGTGTGGGTCTTTTGGACCCCCACACAGCAGTGGGAGGACAAAAGGAGGCCGTAGCTCGCCCGGGTTTGGTTATTGTGGACTTGCCCTTTTGGTATCTGTTTTCTAATCTAAGGAAGAAAGGGACTCCCATGGGAGAAAGTTGAGGGGGGCCAATCTTTAGGATTCCTAGTTCATGGAATATATCTTGCTTTCTTTAAAAGCAAAATTATAAAGTTCTTATTGCCTCTTCTTTCTGCCCTGGGAGTGGGAAGGAGTGACGGGTGGAAGGGCTGGCCAGACTGAAACAGCTGCTACGGGCTCGGGGAGGTGGCTGGCTTTGATCGGAGCTCAGGTGTTTTGACTTTAGGATTTGAAAGCTGCTGCCACCAGGCGTTTTCCTGCTGTATGATCAGCTACTGGCACATTTCCTGTGCCTTCAACCTTCTTTGAGACCTTCCGCTATGCACATGTGGATTTTGAAAGGCTGTGGGAGCCATAGTTCTTTCTGCAACATAAAAACATAAACATAAGGGCCAGTGAGAAGCTCGGTGGGTAAAAGCGCTTGTCTCACAAGCCCCATCACCTGAGTTCAGTCCCCCAAACCCACATAAATGTGGAAGGAGAGAACCAACTCCTTAAAGTTGCCCTCTAACCTCTGCACGTCCTTGGTGGTACCCAGGAGCCCCCACTCTCTCTCCCTAGCAATAAATGAAAAAATGTAAATGCAAACTGAATAACTTCATAACAATGTAATCAGAACTTCAGGCATCTGACATTCATTCCTATGCCTCCACAAGACTGATATCCTGGTTAAGGAGAGCTGCAGACACAGGCCTGGCTTCTGTGCTAGAAATTCTGCAGCATTCTAGATTAGGCAAGTGAAGGGTGCCTGGCAGTGAAGGTGATTTCTATGGGAAACATGAGAATCATTTGGTGGTGACCTGATTGTAACTGGAGCACAATGGTCTGCTTCATTCACGGACAAATACCTTAGGCCACCAGTGTGAGGAAATGACTTCCTTGCCCACAGAGTTTACGGTACACACAGATCAAAATATCAGCTCTATCCATGGAATGGATCATGTCAGTACCATGTGGCAGTGTCCAATGAGACTATGGAGCCCTGAGAAATGGAGCCTCTTCTGGACCAGGGTGGAAGCTTTGTAAAGAGCCTGTGCTGTTGTGAAGCCCTGTGCTGACTGACTTACCACGTCACACCCTGCTCTCAAATCCAGAAGGGCACCTCTCACTGCCTGGACAGCAACCAGACCCCCAAGTTGGGGTAAGAGTCTTCCCTTCCCAGGACTGGCCCCGTTCTCTGAAACCACAGCTCCCTGTGTCCAGGTGTCCAGAGGGTTTCTTTTCTTTTTCTTTTCTCTTTGCATCTAATGTTTGTCAAAGTTCTCTGAAACCTACTGCTGAATCAGTCTTTTCTTTTTCTCTCTTTCTTTCTCTCTCTTTCTTTCTCTTTCTCTTTCTCTCTCTCTCTTTCTTTCTTTTATTTCTTTCTGTTTCTTTCTTTCTTTTATTTCTTTCTGTTTCTTTCTTTCCTTCTTTCTTTCTTTCTCTTTCTCTTTCTCTCTCTCTCTTTCTTTCTTTCTTTCTTTCTTTTATTTCTTTCTGTTTCTTTCTTTCCTTCTTTCTTTCTTGGCCTGGAACTCACTATGTAGAGCAGGTTGGCCTCAAACTCACAGAGATCACCTGCCTCTGCCTCACAAGTACTAGGATTAAAGGTGTGTGTCACCATGCCCGGCCTGAATCAGGATTTCTTAATGAATTTGTTTACACTATGGCTTGAAGTTACCATTCTCTGAAATCCTAGATACTAAGTCCAGGGAGGGACCCAAAACAGTCTGCTTTAACAAGACCCTTGAGGGGTTGGCATACACCTCGGATTTTGAGACACACTTAGACTTTTGAAAAGTAAAGTCAATTAAAACCATCCTGGGAAAGGGTTGAGGAGGATACAGATCAGTGGTACAGTGCCTGCTTAGCATGTCCAAGGGCCCTGGGTTTGTTTCCCAGCGCTGCAAAGCACAGAACACACCTCCTGGAGGATGGGAGTGGGGGCTGGAGGTAGTGGGGGCTTGTGTGGTAAAAGGAAGTAAATTTTTTTCTCTTCCTAGGGCATCTGCTTACAGTGAGAAGCAGGATACAATTCTTCAATAGGTAAACTGATCACATGAAAGTTAAAACACAGCCTCCTCTGAGTGCTTGTTTGAGTTCTTTCCTTTTTCTCATTGGCCGCCCTCTGCCGGGCAAAGTTTGAAAAAGCAACCAAGCTTTGAAAGGTACATGATCTGAAAGGCAGATCAGGTAGGAACCTGGGGAACTGAAAAGATTGTCATTTCTTTTTCCAAGCACCTAACTGGATTTGTTTGAGTTGGGATATAAAATTAGGAAAATAATCAATCTTTCTATACTTTTTTCCACTTTTGAAGCGTTTTGGCTTATTGTGACTTTCCCCCCATATGATGCATTCAGACTTTTATTTATCTACATGAAGAATGTTACTTGATGGCTACAGGGAATTTTGTGCAGTCTGTGTACATGCCTGGGGTCTGGTTACTGGGAAGGCACTGTGTTGACAACAGAAGCCATCAAGTTCTACCTTCGATGTGATGACCTGAAGTGGAGGGTTGTCATGGTAATCAAAACCCTTCATAGACAAGAAAGACATCTCTATTATATGGAAGACAATACGGTATTGAGAGGGGTTATTGAGGATATTTATTTCTGGGTCCTCTTAGTCTACATTTCATCATGATCTTCTGACTATTTGCTATTCTCAACTTTGCTTGGAGGGAAGACAAGTGCTTTTTTTACTTTTATTGTTTGGTTTCTTAGTTTTCAGAGCCAAACCATAAACTACACTACCACCCATTTAGCAAGAGTCATTTGTTCCAACATCTTTTTCTTTTTCATAGATATAGTCCTGACGGAGCAAATGAAATGTGTCTAGTGCGTCTAGAAAATTGTCATTTGTTTCAATCTGTGCAGAGCTAACCATGTAACTGGGGAAGGCAAGCAAAAAGCTCTTTTTGTCTTTTTCTTTTTTCTCTAATGAGAAGTAACCACAAGAAGATGGCTGATAGAGACTATTTTCCAAAGCAGAAGCACAAGGTAAAGTGTTGTTCCACGTGCCACACCCAAGGTCACTGGGATACCTGACATCAGAGAAGCAATTGTTGTGAAAGTCGGAGATCTACACAGGCCCTAACCAGTGAGACCAGAGTCCCAGCAATACAGAGGGCCAGGGTCCTAGGATACAGGAAGGGAAGCTTTGCAATGTGGAAGGAGAAGTGGGAAAGCTTGAGGCAGACATGTGAAGAGACCTCTACTTCCAGACCATGAAGAAAACAAATAACCAGGTAACCAAGTAAGTACTGTGGACCTGAGGCTGATACTGCCAGTGATGGGGAGAGAAAGGAAAAGCCACTCAGTCTCCCCAGAGGTTTCCTTTGGGAAGACCAGGACAGCATGGCTTGAGTGGTTGGTAAAGAGAATTGAGAACACTTGGGTAAAGTGGGCGCTGCCCTGGCAGGGCCAGAACAGGCCCCGGCATGAATTGGCACTGTAAATCTTAATGCCCTTGCTCAAGCACTCCAGATTTGATGCTTCTAATAAGAAGGCTGACTGTGTACTGGTGTGGCTGCTCCCCACTGTTTGTGCTTTGTAATTTAGACAATGCTTTCACATCTGTTCTACTCTCTCTTCCTTGTGGACCCATTTTGGAGGCACTCTCTCCTTTCTCTTCTCCTCCCTTCTCTTCTAGGCTACCCCAGGACTGCAGAGCTGGAGTGGTAACATCCTGTAGGCTATCCTCACAGCCAAGTTCCAGCCTTCACCCAGGATCCCTATGGCTCCTCTCTGTGCCTCAAGCCTCCCACAGCCTTTGTTACCTTTGAGTCTTCAGAATGGCCTGAGCCCTCGGGGGCCTCTAGGCCACAGAAGAGCCAGTTATCAGCTTGAAGCATCTTTCCTTCCTTTCTATTTTGGTCAAAGTCTTACTCAGTTCAAAGCCCAACCCAGATACTCTGTTTTCTTTGGAGTCTAACTCAGCCAGAACTTACTGCTCCCTCCTTTACTGCCCTCCCATTAGACTGTGTTCATATTTACACAACATTATTTAGTGCTGGCTGACTTGGTTAGAGCTTTGCCTGTTCTGCGTGGAATTGAGCTCTTAGATGATAACATCCATCTACTGTATGTCCGATATTTTCTGCTTGTTTTAAAGAAATCAAGTTATTCTCATAATCTCCTTTGTAGTTCTATTATTAGCCCCATGTTATTGAAGAACAAACTGTGGTTAAATACCTTCCTAATGTCACCAAGTGGCCACCCAAGATTTTAACCCAGTCAGTCAGGTCCCTCCTGTACTCCAAACCATCAGGTGACACTGTTCATCTCACCATCAGTCACTGTGCTTGGTAGAGTAATTTTCATAAGACAGAATAATAATTATTCATTGATCAGGAGTTGATCACTGATGCCAAGAGTTAGCTTATAG